AGGAGCACTTGGGCCAGAAAACATTGACATAAACCCAGAAAATGCAGCAGGCTCTGGGGGTCTTTGAGATCCAGGCATTCTTGGTCTTGGTTGATTAGAAATGGCAGGTCTAGGTCCTCTTGGTTCAGACATTCCAGGTCTGGGCTGACAAAAAGGTCCTGCCATTCTTGGTCTTGGCTGAGCAGGAAAACCCACTTTTCCTGGCTGAGGTACAACAGTGTCTCGTTTGGGCTGTTGCTGCTGCTGAACAGAAGAAATCAACTGTGGGTCTAAAGATGGTTGCGTGGTTACCACTATTAATGTTTTGTCACATTCTTGTGACTTTGTGATTTCATCTGGTTTTTCCTTAAGGTCTGCTTGCTGGCTGTCAGAAATTGTCAATACAATGTCTTTTTCAGATTCAGCTGAAATTTTGTCTATTTGTACATCATCAACTTTCCCTGTTCCTTCAGTGAGAGTTTTCTCATTTTCTGAGGGTTTCTCAGAATCCTGAGGTTTGTTAGTTTCCTGAGAGTTTTCCAGTTCCACGCATTCTTCTGCTTCCAGGTTTTTCTGCACTGGGTCTTGTGATTCAGATGATTTTTCAGGCTCTACAGTTTTCTCAGATTCTAACGAAATCTCTGATGGTTTCTCAAGCTCAAAAGGCTCTAAAACTCTCTCTTGCTCTGATGATTTTTCAAGCCCATGTTGGTTTAAATCTTTGTCAGAATCTGGACCAGTGGCTACAGTTTCTTTGTCATTTTCCACATCCAGTTCCTCATTTTTAAGTTGCTCATTATTGGTTTGTTCCTCATACATTTTGTCAACCACAGAAATTTCTTCATTTTTAGACTGCTCCTTAGCCAGCGGTACAATCTCTTCAGTCTCGTTTATTGGTGTCACATAATCAGCTTTCTCTGAACTAGTGGCTATAGATTCTTTGTCATTTTTCATGTCCAGCTCCTCATTAAGTTTCTCATTAATGGTTTGTTCCTCATGTACTTTGTCAACCGTTGAAGTTTCTTGCTTTTCAGTTTGCTTCTCTGTCAGAGGTGCAACCTCTTCAGTCTCTTTTATTAGTGTCACCATTTCAGACTTTGTATCATTTATGGCAGAGTGCATTTCATCAGTCCTCCCTGTATCATTCGTAGACTCTTCCTTCTTTTCATCACTCAGTTTCTCATCCTTCTTGCCAGGAGGTTTAAAGGTTATCTCTGCATGAACCTCTTCTTTAGCCACAACTGATGTATTTTCATCTGTAATTGCATCAGTTAAAGGTGGGAGTGTTATATTGTGAGAGTGAGAGAATGTAAGACAATCCGCCCTTACAGTGGATGCATCTGCAGGTTTTGAATCAGATTTCTTATCATCCACAAAAGACATGAGGCTGAATCCAGTAGATTTTGTTTTATCTGATGAGAACACAGAAGGTACTTTAAAGAGACTTTCTGGTTCAGAGCTTGCCATTGGACTTGGCCCACCAAACATGGAAAATAATCCTTTTCCTGTTGATTCCTTATTGGTAGATTCGGCTGCAGCAGCATCAGTTGGTGCTTGGGATTGAGAACTACCTCCACCAAACATGGAAAATAAACCAGGGCCATTGTTTTCCTTGACCCCAGAACCAGGCAAAATACCTCCAAGTATTGAGGATCCAGATCCAGGTGATTTTGCAGCAGTTCCCCCTGTTGGTGCTGTTGGCTGAGAAGACCCACCGAACACAGAAAATAGTCCTTTGCCCAGTGGTTCTTTGGAAGTGGGCCCTCTTGGAGTTGGACCCATTGGTGCAGGTCCTGATGTAGTTCTTGGAACATGTCCTGGTGGTCCTCTTGGTCCAGGTCCTGGAGCCATCCTTGGAGTTGGCATGTATGGTAGTCTTGGTCCTACAGGCAGATCCTTTGGGCCAGACATAGGTGAACCTTGCTGGTCAGGTTGTGGCTGAGCAACAGATCCACCAAATATAGAAAATAAGCCCTTTCCAGGTGGCTCTTTAGGTGCAGATGGTGTTTGGGTTGCTTGAGGAGCAGAACTTCCAAACATTGAGAATAATCCTGTACCTGGTATTTCTTTAGAGGATGATGACCCAAGGAGTATCCCTCCTAGTATGGACTGTCCACTCTGAGGCTGAGTTTGACCCGAAGATGAAGTGCCAAAAAGTGAGAATATGCCTTTGCCAGATTGCTCTTCAACAGCTGTGGAAGAAGAAACTGGTTCAGTGCTGGTGGGTGTTGCCTCTTCATGTGATTTTGCAGGCCCTGAACTCTGCCCTTCCACTTCCTTTGTACTTGGTTCAGATTTTGATATGAAGGTTTTTAGAGTGTCTACTTTTTCTGCTCCTGATGACACTGGCCCAGAAGTGATATTCAGTTCATCAGACATTACTTTAGAGGTTTTTAGGGCGTCTTCTAATGGTACATTTTCTGTTCCTGAGGACACTGGTCCAGAAGTGATACTCAGTTCGTCAGACATTACTTTTGAGGTTTTTAGGGTGTCTTCTGATGGTACGTTTTCTGTTCTTGAGGACACTGGTCCAGAAGTGATACCCAGTTCTTCAGACATTACTTTAGAAGTTTTTAGGTTGTCTTCTGATGGTTCATTTTCTGTTCCTGAGGACACTGGTCCAGAAGTGATACTCAGTTCGTCAGACATTACTTTTGAGGTTTTTAGGGTGTCTTCTGATGGTACGTTTTCTGTTCTTGAGGACACTGGTCCAGAAGTGATACTCAGTTCGTCAGACATTACTTTTGAGGTTTTTAGGGTGTCTTCTGATGGTACGTTTTCTGTTCTTGAGGACACTTGTCCAGAAGTGATACCCAGTTCTTCAGACATTACTTTAGAGGTTTTTAGGGTGTCTTCTGATGGTACGTTTTCTGTTTCTGAAGACACTGGTCCAGAAGTAATACTTAGTTTGTCAGACATTACTTTAGAGGTTTTTAGAGTGTCTTCTGATGGTAGCTTTTCTGTTCCTGAGGACACTGGTCCAGAAACGATACTCAATTTGTCAGACATTACTTTAGAGGTTTTTAGGTTGTCTTCTGATGGTTCATTTTCTGTTCCTGAGGACACTGGTCCAGAAACGATACTCAATTTGTCAGACATTACTTTAGAGGTTTTTAGGTTGTCTTCTGATGGTTCATTTTCTGTTCCTGAGGACACTGGTCCAGAAACGATACTCAATTTGTCAGACATTACTTTAGAGGTTTTTAGGTTGTCTTCTGATGGTTCATTTTCTGTTCCTGAGGACACTGGTCCAGAAACGATACTCAATTTGTCAGACATTACTTTAGAGGTTTTTAGGTTGTCTTCTGATGGTTCATTTTCTGTTCCTGAGGACACTGGTCCAGAAACGATACTCAATTTGTCAGACATTACTTTAGAGGATACCTCGTGATCTTTTATTTTCTCTTTACACATTGTTGATTCTGTGTTTGCACCATCTTCTAGATTAGACACATGGCCACCCTTCTTGTAATCATCATCAGGATATGTTTTTTCAGAAGAGCTGGCCTCAGGGCAGATACTGTCATTTTGTTCAACAGTGCTTGGTATTAACGGTGCAGAAAATACATCAGAAATGGTGAGTATATCAATAGAGTTATCATGTTTAATCTCCGAAACCTCTGTTAGAGCCTCTGTGGATGCCACCATATTAGAGAGATTCATTTTTATGCTCTTAACCTTGATGGCTAAATTGTCTTGAGAACCATCAGTGCTTTCCATAGGAGTGTTGTCAATGATAGGATCATCTTTCTCTATTGTATCAGGTTCATCTGTCACTGTATCTTCCTCACTAGGACAGTCTTCAGGACTGCTAGCCTCTGAAATCATGATCTGAGGTATAAGCATCTTTCTTGGGCCCAAACCAGAAATGACTAATGATCGTCCCTCTAGCTCAGTGGGTGAAACTTGAATGAAAGATGGTGTCTCTTCAATAGACATCATCTCAGACAAAACAAGCTGCTGGGGAGTAACATCTAACTGACTAACACTGTCCACCACAGTATCTTGTGTTGAAACAGACTGAGACACTGCTGCTGTTTGAGGTACAGAGAACTGTGAAGTGGCTTGAACTGACATATGTTGGGCATCACATCCACTAAGTGTAGCAAAATGATGTTGAGTTGACATTTCATATGGTTGGCCTGCATCAGTCTGGTTGCAAGACATAACCATACATGGTATCTCTTTCAATTGTGTTTTAAGTGTTAAGGGAATAACTGTAGACACACAGGAAGATGTAGCAGGGCTCGTGGATTTATCACTTGTGACTGAAACTTCAGGAAAGGGGATGCTTCCAGAAATATTTTCTTGAGACTGTGTCTCTGCTGGAATAATACAAACATTCATTGGCTGAGAAATTGTGCCACTATATGTTGGAGCCAAGCTTTGAGCAGATGCCTCAGTCTGAGGTACGGTTGTTTTGTTATGTTGTATGAGTGCACTTTTTGTTAAAGACTGGTCTGTGGGAAAAACTTGAGCTGGAACTGGTGAAACTTCATTAAGTTCAAAGGGTTGTCTTATTACAGAAGGTGGTGTAGTACTTACTGGACTTGGAAGATGCACTGTGGGTGGATCAACTAAGGATGGTGATGCATGTGCTTTAACAGTAGATGGTATGGTTCCACTGATCACTGACATGTCTGCTGTTTTCGTCACTGTCCGGTTTGGAGATGTTGTCATTCCTTGGTTAAACTCAATACAAACATTTTGTGACGGTTTGACAATTGACGGTATCATTTTATCACTTCTTTGTGAGATAGCTGTTGCTGGCTGTGAGCTTGCTTCATCGAACAATGATATCAAACCTTTGACTGACATCTTTGTGGTTGGGCTTGAATTTGAGACTTCACGACTATCCATAACACTTGTTGTGACAGCAGGACTTGTTGAAAGTGGTCTTGAACATGCCATGGAAACTTGAGAGTTTGTTGTACTTGTTGGTACAACAACTACTGATTCTAGTACAATGGCAGAAGTCGACACTGGCAGGCTTGCAGCAGTAGACACAATATTAGGTGACAAACCATGGTCAGGTATGGGTACATCTTGAACTGATATAAATGGAACAACTGAAGTTTGAACAAGTGTATTGTCTAATGCTAAAGGCTTTCCAATGAAAGTAGCTGTCCCACTCTGAGAGGTGCAATCTTCTCCAAAGCTTTCCACTGTTGATTGTTTGATAATACCTTTGGGTCTTGAGACTGTAGTTGAAGCAGCAGCAGCTGAAGTAAAAAATGGTTCAGTCCTTTCATTCTCAGTTAAGGCCACGGGAATTGACTGGTGTGTTACCACCTGTCTACTGATGATAGATCTTTGAGCTACTTGCTGATAAGTTTTATGCTCTGAGCAATTTATGTGAGGCATAGATTTTGGGGGCAGGTCACTAAAGGTCACCATTTTAGATGAATTACTGATTTGTGTAGAGAGATGAGAGCCATGTGGATCAACACTCGTGTTGCTTGCAAATGGAAGCTCCTTATTCAAAAGATGTGTGTTCGTTGGTTCAGCAGGTTCACTTTGTTCTTTCTTTAGTTGTACAGAAGGTTTAGAGATATGCAAATCAGTTCTGTGCAAATGACTTTTCATCTGATCGGATATATTTGCCATTTGTGTAGGCACACTAGACTGAAAAGATGGGTATGATGCTTGAGGTTTAGCTACATTCTTTGATTGGGGGGCCAATATCTCCTCATTTCCTGACAGTTGATAAGAATCTTTCTTATTTGTTGTGGTGGCATATATAACTGCTGTACATGCTGAGGTGTTCTGAGTGGATATGCTAGTAGTCCTTGGAGATGAAAGATCTTTGACATCATCACCACTTTTGTTTCTATTTACATCAATCATTATGTCAGCAGTCAGGTCAACAGCCCCAACATAGGATTTCTTAAAAGTGCTACTACCATTTTTTGGATATCTGCTTCCAATCCTTGATTTATCTTCTTCACTTCTAGTAAAATCCACAGGATGGCCATTTTGCAGAACAGAGTAGCAGTTGCGCTTTGTAGGTGAAACAATGACAGAGAAATCTATCGGTTTGCTGAAGGGCTGAGATTCTACAGTTTGTGTCTTTGAGATTGAGAGGATTCCATTTCGGTGATAGGTAGAGATCTGTTGGCGCAACAAAGGTTCTGTAGTATGATGTCCATTCAATAATTGCATTTGGCGTGGATTACCTTTTTCCTCTAGTAATGATATAAAAGGTGATGTTTTTTGAGAGACCTGCTCAGAACATGAAAAAGAATCAACTATTAATGGCATTCCTACTGAGTCTTTTCTTGAATATTTGTTGATGGCTGCTTTATCTTTGACAAGAGGCATTACTCCACTTGGAAACATTTCTCCTGCTGATCCCTCAGACACCATAGAGGTTGATCGGCCCACAGACATATCAATAGTGGATTTAATTGTGTTAGCTGGTGCCGAAGGTCCTTTTGTTCCTTGAGCTATAGTTGATTTCAAAGAGAAAGATGACATTTTATCAGGCAATTTGCTTTGCCCACGAACTAGTTTAGGAAGCAAAGGAGGTTCGACCAGTAAAGGTACACCAGCTAGCCCTTTTAATACTTCAGCATCAGTAGTTGGTCTTGTCTTTACAAGCGACAGCACACCAGCTTCAGTCAAAACTTCTCCACAAACCTCTGTTGGATCTGACAAGAGTTTTGGAGACATGTCAACTATGTCCTTGATTGTATTAGCTGGTGCTGTGGGTATTCTGTTGGGCTGTCCTAAAAGAGATGATTGCCATGTTATTTGTAATGTAGGACCTTTGCTTTGAAAGCAACCCACTTTAGCAGAGATGCTTCTGACTTCAAGGGAATGCTGGCTTAAAGTACCACTATTCTTTTCTTTCAGTGTTTCCTGCACTTGTGATGGAGATGAGGACTCTGACATAAGATTTTCTTGGGAATTAGAGGGTGTTACAATTAAAGGCAAACCAGCAGATGTCCCTGTGGCAATCACAGTAGCAGATGTTTTTCTTTTCATCAATGGCATTGGAGATAACTCTTGCTTTTCCTCTTTGATTTTTTCAATCGGCTTTGGAGACATATCCACAATTGTTTTAACTGCACTGGCTGGAGCAGAAGCTGCTTGCCAACTAGGTGTTTGTCGGCTTAAGGCTGGATTTAACTGGGATGTTTTCACATCCACATGCTGTAAAGAATCACTTTGTCTAACATTCGATTGTGATTCACAACTCATGAGAAGATTTTTCCACTTTTGTGTTGGAGGGTCCACAATCAAAGACATACCAACAACCTCCTCATTGCCATCTGAGATTGATGTTGATCTTGCTCTCACGAGTGGCAATGCTTCCTTTTGAACCACCTCAGTCACCACACCTGAACTAGCTGTTGATTTTGCAGACATATCTAATGTAGCTTTAATCGCATTTGCTGGAGCAGTTGCTATTTGATGACAATGAGTAAGTTGCACTGGCAAACTTGCAGTTTTGTTATAAGGACGATTTTGGCAGGGTAAAACAGGGTCTTCTTGGAAAAACTTGGAGTCATTAGAAGAGACATGTGGTAACGATTGACGCCTTTGTGGGATAAGACTTTTCTCTTGCACTGATGGCTCAATAAGCAAAGGCAATCCGACAAGCTCTTCATTGCAATCTGGGATTGATGTTGATCTCGCTCTCACAAGTGGCAGTGCTTCCTTTTGAATTGCCTCAGTAACCACAGTCGAATGAGTAGTTGATTTAGCAGACATATCTAATGTAGCTTTTATTGCATTTGCTGGAGCAGTTGCTGTTTGATGATAATGAGATGGATGCACTGGCAAACCTGCAGTTCTGTTGCAAATATGGTTTTGGCTGCGTAAAACAGGACCTTCCTGGAAAAACCTGGATTCGCTACATAAGAGCCGGGGTAATGATTGATGCCTTTGTAGGTTAAAATTCACCTCTGGTGCTGATGGCTCTACAAGCAAAGGCAAACCAACAGAATGTGTATTCATTTCTGTGACTGATGCCCATCTGCTTCTTACAAGGGGTACTGCTTCAGTTGCTGAAGTCTCAGTGATCACTGTCTCCTTATGCTTATTGGCTGTCTTTAAAGTCATATCTAGTGTTGCTTTGACTGAATTAGCTGGAGCAGTGTTCACATTATATGACTGTCCAGTCATTTGACTCATTCTCATGGATTCACTAACAAGTGAAGTCTGCCTTGTGAGACCAATTTGTTTCTTTTGAGCAGATATGTGCAATGCTGGGCTTAACAATGGTGATGTCTTTATTTCAGGACATATATGAGGTGATGGTTCCTGAGGTATGGAAGTTGGTACTTGGCTGGGTTTGGAAATTTGCTTAATTGGGCCTCCCTCGAGGCAATCAAGTTTAGCTGGTGTTGAGGCTGACTTTGACACTACTTTTAAGGGTGAATCCACCAGGACTCTGTCAGGGCTTACTTGAATACTGCTTGCCTGGGACACCTGATCTGAGGCTTGTCTTGTAAGCCGGGGTTTTTGTCTTGGTGATATCGGTGCTTTATTGCCACAGCCGTCTTTTTTTATGGGAATTCCACTGTCTGGAGGAAAGTACTGTGGTCTTCTTTTTGGAGAGGCCGGAGCAGAAACAGTTCCGAGAGGCACATCAGACATTGTCATGGAAAGATTTCTGACCTCTAGAGCTGGAAATGTGACATTGATTTCTTTCACTTCCTCATTTAACTCAACAGTAAGATCTACAGCAGCTGTCTCACCCATGTGAAAAGTCTCTTCATTCTGCTTTTTAACTTTTAGTTTTGTTGTGGTAAAGTCAATGATATCCTGAATAGACCTTTCAGCATCAGTATCTGTTGGCGTTTTCTCATTCTTACCTTTGTCTTTTTTGCTCAAGGTTCCCGAGAAATCCATAGGTTTACTACAAAGAAGAGAGTCTACTGGCATTTGAGGCTTGTTAAAAAGTAAATTCTGTGGTGGTGGCAATGATAGTCTTTGATTTGACATCACTGTGGAAGGTTTTGGCTTCAAGGGAACTTCTTCAGTCTTAGAGCTATCAAAATTCGATGCTTTCTCTGATGAAGGAGACCGTGATGACTGTGATGGCTGTCTTGCCAGTTTGTGTTTCTGAGATGCAGCAGAAGGCTTAGAAGAAATACTTGTTGTGACTTGTTCTGAGGTTGGTGGAGTAGGTAATACTCGTGGTGTAATGGTTGCACTCTGCTGTGTAAACCCATCCTGTTTTGTTGAATTTGCTGGTGTTACAGGAAGTTTCCTAGTTGATGTAGGCCGAGTTCCATTGCCATTCAGTAGATCAGAAGGTTTTCTACAAGTGGCCTGAGGTTGTGGTGTAATTGTAGATCCTGCCAATGCTGTGCTATTAGCTGTTTGTGGTGCAGAAGTTGTCTTTTCAACAAAGTTTACATTTGGTGAAAAAATTGGACTGAAAGTTTGCTTATTTTGAGTTTTCTGGTCAACAGGCTTATCATCTACATATCCTATCCTGATTTCAGAAACTGAAGATTTTATAGTTGAGGGATGTTCTCTATAGCTCACTGATGAAGTAAAAGTAACTGGAGAAGAGAATTGGTGCACAGATACTTCAGGAAAAAGGTCTTTAATATCCTGATTTATCCAGTATGGTCCTCCACGACATGAGTTATTTGCTTTCCTAGAGAGGTCAGCTGCTTGAGGTTGCTCCTCTGTAAAAATTATACTTGGCTCTTGTGAACCCATTTTTACTTTTTTGAGTTTGTACACACTGAAGTCAACAGGTTGCTCTGTCTGCGCATTTATGGAGGTCTGAATCATTTGGGAGAACCGCTCAATATTCATGTTCATAATCCTGTTTCCTTTCTGAAGAGCTGAAGACAAATCAATGGGAGCATTTAGGAGCTGTGAGTCACAATGTTTTTTTCCTGGTATCCACAGAACTTCATCTTCATTGAACAGAGGTATTTTAAAACCACAGAGCGTCATCTTTGGTTTGTCTTTTTTATGCAGAATACTTGAAATATTTTCAGTGATTTGTTCTAAAACACAGCTCTCCTCTGGGGTTGCACATGCATAAAGGTGCTTCCCAGCCCTATCAGTCAAAAGAGTGTATATATATTCTTCATCCATGTAAACGTAATAGCCACAATCTCCTGCCTCAGCCGGCCACCACATTTCCTGCTCCAACAAGGACAGCCACTGCTGGTACCACTCAGAATCTTCAAAAAACATGTCATCCTCTATATCTTCACTGGCAGTTACAGAGCTACTGAGGTCGACTGCACCTGGAGTCAAATCCAATGGCCCCTTTTTTTCAGTGAGTCGTCTGAAGAATCTTGAGTCAAATTTCAAATCTAAATTTAATTTGGGGGTCATTTTTGAGTCATTTTTGCTACTAAAGTCTGACATTGACTGGCACAAATATTTTTTTGCTGGTACATCCGTTGAGAGATTTATGACAGTGGTTTTCTCCATCCAAGTATTTTTGGTTCTTTTATCACTGAAGCCATTTAAATTGTCACAGCCTTCCCAGGGTTTCTTGTTTGTGCTACTCATGTCAAACACAATAATATCCTCTCCATTTGCTAGTGGAAGACTACTTTGAAATGGCAGGTTGACAACATCCTGCCAAGGATGTGAGGGTATATGGAATTGACTAGGATCCATGTTTTTCAAGTTCCACCATTCAGGTGTCTCTACAACAGGTTCAGAGGATAATGGCATTTCCATTTGATTTGCAGAATAACAGTCTGGAACTTGTGTTGCTAGCATCTCCAAAAGAGCATAATCATTCATTTGCTGCCAAAGAAGAGCTTCTATGAGACACTGATGTTCATACAGTTCTGGGGGAATCACACCATGCACAGCAAATGTATACAGTAGATCTTGGTAGCCATAATTAATAGACGTGCCATATAAGAGTCTATGGATCTCCTCCATGTACTGTTGGGTGGACTTCACTGCAGGATGCAGGTTAGCAGGTTGATGAGAAGCTTCACTCACTAAATTGTTCGACTCTGAACCAGTGCTGCTGGTAACTGAAGTAGTGGACTCGTCTTTACTCTGCTTAGACATTAGTTGATCAAAGAAGCCCTTCTCTGAGTCCTTACTTTGTGATGAAGTGTCATTTTCATTAGCTCCAGATTTAAAAATTCCAGAAAGCATACCTGCACCACTATTAGAACTACTTTTTGGCAGTTCTTTGATTTGAGAAGGAAGTTTGGATGAAGTGTCTTCCTCTGAGGCATTGCTAAATAGTCCAGACAAAAAACCTTTTTGTGCTGAAACTTTTGGATCTTTTTCTGCACCTCCATCTTCAGAGGACATAAATTCAACTGGTTTGGCTCTCTGAATCTGTGGACGTCCGTGACTAGGTTTAATTCCAGAACGGTCTTGTTGCTGCTGTTTCGGTTTTTCATCAGGGGAAGCTTCACTTTTTGCTATTGTTACTTCAGCTGTTGTAGTAAGTTTGTTCAAAAATCCAGAGATGATGCCACTAGACTCATTTTGCTGATTGTTGGCACTTTGAACAGATGTATTTGCTTGCTGATTGCTTGACTGTGCATGTTGTTGCACAGATTCATCCGAGGTGGCCATTTTGAAAATGCTAGAAAACAAACCACCAGACTGACTTTGCTGTTGTGTTGCTCCTTGTGACACAGTCTGACCTTGACGTTGTGGACCTTGCATCTGGCTTCCAGAGGCAGGATGTGGCTGCTGTCCTACAGAAGGTGATTTTGGGGCTGCAGCTTCTGAACCCATCTTCAAAAGACCAGAAAGAAGTCCACCCGACTGGTTTGAAGGGGGTGGCTTTTGGGTAGATGATTGACTCTGTCCTGATGCATCTGGCCTACTTGTTTGTTGGTTATGCTGAACTCCAGACGTTGATGACTGAGCTGGAGTATCTGCTGATGCAAGTTTGTTGAAAAGGCCTGAAAGCAGACCCCCTTGTGATGGTTCAGGGGTTGATGGTGTATGAGATGGAATCGGATTCTGTCTTTGTAAAGGCTGCCTGTTTCCCTGCTGCTGTTGACTGGATCCAGGAGGTCCTTGTTGTGATTGTGCTGGTGTCTGGTTGGTTGAAAAAAGCCCAGAAAAGAACCCACCCTGTTGGCTAGAAGATTGCTGGGGGGCACTTTCATTTGGAGCAGGTCTACTGGTTTGCTGTGTGGTTTGTGCCTGGGGTGGTGCAGTGGCGGTGTCTGCAATCTTATTAAGCAACCCAGAGAACACTCCACTTGGTCCACTTTGAGGTACCGGCTGAGGTGGAACTTGGTTTTGTCGTCGCAAGTTTTGTCTGTTACTTTGCTGTGCATTAGGTTGACCAGAACAAGGGGCCTCCTGCTGTGGAAGATTCTGGGGAGCTGGGTCTTTGGCATTATTAACATCTGATGCACTCATACCAAACAGGCCAGAAAGGAAGCCACCTGTCTGGGAAGGTAGTGGTTGTTCAGGGGGTTTAGGGCTCTGTTGTGAGGTCAAGCTACTATTTCCAGGATGTGGCTGTTGAGGGACACTCTCTGGGGCTGTTAGTTTGTTTAAAAATCCTGAAAACATTCCACTTGCTGTAGCAGGTGGTGGTTGTGACTGTGTATTTGGTTTGCTGGATTGCTGTTGATTAGGCTGACTGCCAGAACCACTTGGCTGTTGTGACCCTGCAAGAGCACTCTCTGTTAATTTGAGGAGCCCCCCAAAAAGTCCTCCTGTTTGACTTGGAGGTGGTTCAATTGGCGGTGGCTGAGAGGGCGGCAGTTGACTCTTTGTGTCTGATTGTTGTCGACTTGGTTGTTGATTACTGTTCTGTTGTGATGCTTGCTGTTGCTGAGGCTGGGATACCTCTCCAGATGCTGGGACAGTCTCAGGGGCAGCCAACTTCAAAAGTCCAGATAAGAAGCCTCCCGATTGAGGCTGAGGTGAAGCTCCTTGAGAGGGCTCATTGGGTGCACCTTCCAATGTTCCTTGCTTTGGGACATTTTGATTTTCAGGATTTGGTGCTGACTGGGCAGGTGCTGTTTGGGGGCTTGAAACTGTATCACTGGCCAATTTCAATAACCCAGAGAAAATTCCAGTGCTCTGCTGTGGCTGGCTGTGGCTTTGAGCAGTTGCAGGTGATTCTTGAAAGGAGTTTCCTTCATTGGAGGGTTGTTGCTGTTGTGGGCCTGTTGATTGGCTTGTGGTTAAACTTTCAGGGGCAGCCATTTTCAATATTCCAGACAACAGCCCTCCTGACTGAACAGATGCAGCCCCTGGTTGAAACTGGCTTGGGTTTTGGGAACCAGTAACAGTGGAAAGTAACCCTGAGAGTAAACCCCCCTGTTGAGGAGGACCAGAACTTGCTTGGGGCTTGTTGTTGCCAGATAAAAGACTGGATAGCAAGCCATGAGACTGAGGTTGTGCCTGTGCATCATTTTGTGTCTTTGGTTGAGTCTTGGAATGGCATTGGTCATCTGGCTTGGTATTGGATCTATCTTGAAGTTTAGATGCATTTTCATTTCTGTCAACTTGGTCTGTATCCAGTGTATCTCTTTTAATCTCTCTTTGATTTTCAGTAGACAGGCACTCATTATGACATTTTGTTGCATCATCTTCTTCTGCAACTATATCTGCAGAAGCTTCTTCGACATTGGCTGGTTTTTCAGGATTCACAACAACAGTGGGAATGTTCTGTGTAGTTGCTGTTGGCTTTGATGAGGCTGGTGTTCCAGTCTGTGGCTTTGGTGGTTCAGCTGAGCTTGCTTTGAACAAATTGGAGAACCAGCCAGTATCTGCATTTCCTTTGGAAACACTTTCAAGCAGTGCGGAACGACTGGACAGTGGTGATTTAGCACCAGTCTGGAGTCCTCCAGGTCTAGAAGTATTGGGATCCTCACCTGTTGTCAGTTTTAGAAATCCAGAGAGCATACCACCTTCTTGTTTAGATGCCTGAGTATTGACTGGAGCATCTGAGGAAAAGAAAGGGAGCTTTAATTTATTGCCAAAATTACCAGACACATCCTCAGATTTTGGAGCCTCGGCTGGCTTAAATATAGAAAACATTGAGGGGACCTCAGCTGGCTTATCGTCAGGAGCATTGTTTGATATGAGTGAGTTCAATGACTTCTTAAAGGGGCTAAAGAATCCGGTGTCTTCTCCAGGTGTTTGACTGGCAGGCTTTGCTTCAGTTTTACTCTCTACTAGCTTGGGTGTAGCCCCTCTGGGCATGGAATCAGGTAATTCGCCAGATGATTCTGTTTCAGGTAAGAGCTCTACTGAGCCACTTCCTGATCCCCCACATGAGGACTGGTGCTCAGGTTGTGTGCCAGATCCCTCTAAAGACAAACTTTTGGATTTGTCCATTGATGCTTCTTTAGACTCTGTGTTTCTCTGAGTTATATTTGGTTGTGAAACGGTTTCAGCACTAGATTTGTCTCCAAAAAGCCTGAAAGGGCTCAATCTTCCTAGCATTGAATCAACCACTGTTTGTGTCTGACTTGGAGTGGAGTCCTGAGTTTGAGAGCCACTTGAATCAGCAATGTTTGTAGCATCAGCCTCTGATGTGGCACTAGCTGGTCGACTGACCTCTGGGGACTGAAATGGCAACAGTGACTGCAAAGAGAACTTCTTGTCTGCATTAGTTTCCTGATTAGCAGGTGGTACAACAGCAACAGGAGTTGGACTACTAGTTGATTTAGGTATGAAAGAGAACAGTTTTGAAATACCAGACTCTGACTGGGGAGGAACTGGAGATGGAGTTTTTGTTGCAGTTTCTGTTGATTCTGTATTTTCAGCTGCTGATTTAGTATTTGTGATTGAGATAAACAAAGAGCTCATGGCATTTTTAACACCTGCAATACCTTGTTCCACAGCATTTTCATCTTTCATCTCAGCTGGTTTACCCTCAGTTTTCTTTTCTTCACTCTCTGTTTCTGTTTTAGTGAGAGATTTTTGCATTGATTCATATTTACTAATTTCCTCCTCTCTTCCAGCCAGATATTCTGACACAGAGTCAACTAAATTCTGAAGTTCGTCCATTGTATCATGATACTCCTTATCTGGCTTCTGCACAGGTGACAATATTTCATCTGGGCCCCTTGTGCAATCATTCCCCATGTTACTCTGTTGTTCATAATAGCCTTGTGACCATTCATCATAAGAGGAAATATTTCTTGCATTACTGTAGTAACTGTCATATTCGTACTGTGCATCCTCTTCTACAAACGCCATATCATCTAGCTCCTCTTCAGACCCAAGAGAGAATTGCATTTCATCAGATCCTGCAGACCCATATTCACTTCTTGCTCTCATTCTGGCTTCCTCTTCCTCACAATAAATTGTGTAGTTCTCAAGGGTGTCTTCAAATGAGTTCTTGGCCCACATCCTGGTTTTGTACAACAGCCCCTCTGTATACGATGCTTGGTTTGTCCTGCGAAGTTGCCTAATTGAAGGAATGATGGAAATCTCAGGAGGGGAAATTTCATCCTCGAAGTTTCTAGCTTCCTTACAGACCAAATGGACCTCACTGCTGCTTGCGGCTGCTCTCCTGATGGGATTTTCTAATGTGTCATACTCCTCAGCCTCCTCTGGGGACATTGCATCACACTCTAATGTCTGGTAAAATCGACTCCCTTTGGAGTCACCCGGGCTGCTCACGATTCTATAAATTTCACTCTTGGTGTCATCATCGTCATCCCACGTTTTCTGCTCTGGTTCCAGGTAATCATCCAGTATGTTGTCATTAATTTTGTATTTGGTCTCCCAGTCTTCAACTCCCATACAGGAGTCCACTGGAATCATTCTGACATCATCTGTACCACTTGAAAATCTGGTGTGCATAAAGTGAAAGTGCCAAAAGCATGGATGAGGAGAAGAACGAAAAGCAAGAGAAATTAAAAAAATCTTAAATCAAAATATATAGATGGATAAAAACAAAGACAGACAGAAAAATGAGAATGTATGAAACAACTAAAACGGAACATTTTTGGAGCTAAATTGACTGAAAAAAAAATCTTAATACAGGCTTTCTTAATAGTTGTAATTCTTAAAATTTTGTTTTAACAGCTCTTAGATATTATTCATAGATCATATCTTGAATATATGCATCTTGTCTTAATGCACTGGCATATTTTTGCACACTGCCCTTGTTTTTATTGTAAACTTTAAACAAGAACACAAGTTTGTGCAGAAGTGCAGAAAGACAAAATACAAGTATCAAGTATTCAAGACATTATCTGAAAATAAGTCACAGTATCTTATTTAGGGTTGCTTCAAATAAATGTAATCTTTTAAATAATCTTTTTTTAAGGATTTTTAGATAATGGGTGAGTAATGCTATATTTCAAAATTATGCACGCCAAGCTGTACATGTATTTATGTAATCAAGTGTTACCTCAAACATACCTTTGTTCCTTTCCTTCTCTATCATCCAAGTCATAGCTCTGGATAGAGTCTGTCCTAGACTCTTTTGACAATGCCTGATTCTGTAATCTTCGGCCAATAGGGTACTGATGTACTGAGGAATTGGGTTGAGCTGTGGTGTGGTATCGTGGAGGCCTGCTGTTTGTCTCACTGCGGTAATCACTGTCCCTGTCATCCACAGCGCTGTCATGGTCATGGTCAAAATCTACAGCACAATGAAATCCAGAAGTGAATAAAGTGTGGTCAGGGAGGACTTTACCTAAAACTTTAAATTAATTAAATTATATGATTGCAGAGACTCCAACGACGATGCTAAAGCAGTGATAATTGTGGTATATGCTATACTCCAGCATAAATTATTTTAAACAAAATGTATCATTTCATAAAACTTCATATTAAATGAGAAACTACATGGATTATTTTTACTTTTAAAAGGTTCTGTCACAACAGTGCATGAAAGCTAATGTAAATGATAAAAATGGTGGGGGGAAAAATCAAAGGCATCTTTGTAAGATTTAAGCTAAACTTATGGTGTAAAAAAAGTTAATGGAGATGTTATTTATCAATTACACATTTCAAAATGCAAATCACATGCACAACAATTAAATGCATGAAGCACAAAATATATGCATAATGAAGGAATGATGAATAACCAAAATAGGAAAGGAGGGAGAAAAGTGGAAAATTTCAGTTGAATGCACTAAACTTCATCTTGTTTTATGTACACTATTAGTCATTAGCTTGGGCACACAAACACATTTGTTATTATTACCATTTTCCAAATTTTAGAATAATAGTAAAGTTACCAATGAATATAAAATGAATAAAATAAAAAAAATTGTCATAAAATGTTAGTTTTGAAATGAAAACCATATGGCACAATTAGAATTAATTTTAAAGAATATAAGCATCATCGAAAGATTTAAAGCTGCGGGTCAGACTAGACTTTGAGCAGAAGAAAATTCCTCAGACACTGCAATGGTCGTGAAATTCAACAAATAATAATAAATCCAAAATGTTAAACCGTACAATCTACTTCACTTTCCTCCAATACTACAGTTTTACATTTCTGTTCTTTTAATTCAGCTACAAGGTCATGCTTTGACGTTTTGATCTGCTGTTAGTCACAACTTCTTCGCATTAGCTTGCGTTTCCGCTCTCCCACATTTGCATTTATATGAATGGAAGTCAATGGAGCGAAAAGTGTAGTATGAAGAAGAAAGGAAGTGAAATGATGATTAGTTACAACACACATGAAGTACATACTCTGCTGATCATTCCATCCAAAGTATGTCCAATTGCCTAGTGGTGTGGAGAAAGTTAAACAGCAGAAGATAGATATAATGATAAAGCTTTACAATAAGGTATCATTTGATAACATTAAATACCTACATTAGTGAGCAAGAACTAATAGTGAAACAAAAGTCTAAAGCATTTATTAATCTTAATGTTCATTTCATCATTTACTAAAACATTATTAAAACCAAATTTGGTATTTGTTAATATTTAATGGACCTGAGCTAACATGAACTAAGACTGAACAGTTGTACTAACACATGTTAAAGGGGACATTGGTTGCAAAATTTGCTTTTACATGGTGTTTGCATATAAATGTGTCTTAGCAGTGTCTGGGGACAACCACCCTACAATGACAAAAATCCATTCACTTCCTTTTTTTTTTTTAATCCCCAAAGAACTAAACAGACCCAATTATCTAGCCGTTTTGATTTTCTGAGCAGTATGATGTCATACTGCTCAGGCCCCGCCCATGACCACTGATGGACTATCCCATATTAGCATATTTCTGCCCTCAGCCAGTTGTACCCTGTCCGTCATTTTCTCTGCGCTCAAGCAGCTGTAGTGAAAACTATGTCTCATAAGGAATGCAGATGTTTTGTAGTTGGATGTACAAGTGAACCATTGAGGAATTTTAACCAAAGTATTTTGCAGACATTTCATGAAGACCCTAAAGTATCATACCAACTTGTGGGAAATGGGCATCTGATGTCCCCTTTAAGAAAGATCCATAAATACTTTAACACTGACAACGAGCAGTACATTTGTTAGTCAATGCATTGACATTAACTAATACAATCTTATTGTAAGTGTTACTGATGCAATATATAATTGCATAACCCACAGAGAGTTTTTAAAGAGTTTGCATGCATATCTGCTTTCTTAATTATCTGATATCATAAATCTGCTTCTGTATTTTTTCAACAAAATTATATCAAATATTTCAGTAAATTACTTCACGGTTGGGTAGGTCACCAAAAATGAATATTCAGCAGTTATTTATTCACATTCATGTTGTTACAAATCTGTATGACATTCTTTTCCATGGAACAAGAAAGTAAATGTTTGAGATGGCAAGAAAGTAGAATGAACAAGAAAGTAAATGCACAGAATGTTAGAGATGTCAGTATTCACTTCCACTCCATACAATGAAAGTAAATATTGACTATCATAGTGTTATTCTGTCTAACATTGTATTTTATGTTCCAAGTAAAAAAGAAAGTAATAAAGGTTTAAGTAAACATGAAGGTAAATGATGACAGAATCTTCATTTGTTGAGTGTACTATCCTTTTAAGCAAAAGTAAATCTTGACACTTGCAATATTAATACAACAAACAGAACATAAAAGTCTGAATGCAATAATCATCAGGGCAAAATGCATTATAAAAGCTATAAACTACTGCCATCTACTGGCTTACAGGGGACTCGTTACATAATTTCAATTTTTCCCCACTGTAAAGGCTGAAAACAGAATACTTACAGCACTGGGAGGGCACGGGGGGCAGCTGTCTTCTCTGTGCTTCATCTTGCAGTGAATACTATATAAAAAATAAAAATAAAAAACAGAAATTAACAAAAAGGTCAAAAGCCATCAGCTAACAATACCTGTGTGTTTTCATATATTAGGTGAATCAAAAAGTCTAAGATAGAGGCTTACTTAAACATATTTATTTACTTATTTATAACACTGGCTAAAATAACAATAAACAATGTCAGCTAGGAATTATACATAACTAATCAGAAGTGTTGTTCATGTGCACTAATCTTCCCATCCAGCACATCTTAGTGGTCTTTTGGCAGTATAACTGTAAGGCCCTTGCAATAGCTCAGTGCTCACAGCAGAAGGCAGTAGAAGATCATTCTTTTAACTAAACTACAGAATTCCTTTTTTTTGGAGAGCCAACGCAATGTTGATGAGAGCAAAATACCAAATACCTGCTCCAAATCAACATACAACACAAACATACATATACATATACACAACACATATAATCAACACATACATACATATACATATACACACACATACACACAGACACGTATATATAACCCTGGAGCGCAAAAGCAGTCTTAAGTCGCTGGGGTATATTTGTAGCAATAACCAAAAATACATTGTATGGGTCAAAATTATTGATTTTTCTTTTATGCCAAAAAATCATTAGGATATTAAGTAAAGATCATGTTCCATGAAGATATTTTGTAAATTTCCTACCGTAAATATATCAAAACTTAATTTTTGATTAGTAATATGCATTGCTAAAAACTTCATTTGGACAACTTTAAAGGCGATTTTCTCAATATTTAGATTTTTTTTGCACCCTCAGATTCCAGATTTTCAAATAGTATCTCGGCCAAATATTGTCCTATCCTAACAGCTCTCAGATGATATATAAATCTCAATTTCGAAAACTTGACCCTTATGACTGGTTTTGTGGTCCAGGGTCAATTTTATAAGAAAAGGTTCGGAGATATTTTTTTCAGGCAATAGCTGACACGGAACCCAAAAAAACGATATAGTCTTCCATTTGTTGGATGTGAAAAAAAAAAAATCACATATGCATTGCTAAGAACTTCATTTGGACAACTTTAAAGGCGATTTTCTCAATATTTAGATTTTTTTTGCACCCTCAGATTCCAGATTTTCAAATAGTATCTCGGCCAAATATTGTCCTATCCTAACAGCTCTCAGATGATATATAAATCTCAATTTCGAAAACTTGACCCTTATGACTGGTTTTGTGGTCCAGGGTCACATATAAGAAAAGGTTCGGAGATATTTTTTTCAGGCAATAGCTGACACTGAACCCAAAAAAACTATATAGTCTTCCATTTGTTGGATGTGAAAAAAAAAAAATCACCCAAATACAAAAAAAAAAAGTTACATTCATATTTCAAATATGAAATTCACCATAATCCCAATCTAAAAAAAAATGCATAATTTTTTTAAGATGAATAGTGGTAACTCTTGTCCATTCCCATCAAATTACCATGTTATTCTACTGTACATATTCACGCATCTCTACTCCATCTAAACACACAGTCTGTACCTCATCATGTATCCTCATAGAGTTGATGCGCTCCAGCTTTTTAGTCCAGTATTGGGCCTCGTCGTCGGGGATATCTGCACAAAGCAAACAAATAATACAGAAATAAGGCGAAAAGAAAGTCTATAGATATCTTTAGATAAAACTCCAGCTTCCACTGTTCCAATGCATCTCTTGCTCCTCCCTTCCAGTTTTTCTGGCCACACAGCACTCAATTCTGTATTCACAGTGTTTAATATGGCATGAGACACAGAGGTTACTGCAGCAACATTACAAATACATCAGCACCCTTTGCTTCCACTCTTTTTTTCCTCAGATCCTCCATTTACGTCTCCTTAATTCTCCCGATTCATTTAGATATTTTATATCATACAGTGGCTCTAAAAAGTACTTAAGTCACTTAAAAATATATGAATTTAGTTTCGTGGCCACTGTATATGTGGCAGTTAAAGGAACTGCTCAGAATCTGTTCTAAGAGGTCTGAGAAAAGGTAAATCTAAAAAGAAAAGAAAAAAGGCATATTCTATTCTATTATATATGGACTACCAAAAGGGAGCTCAAAGCGTGTGTCCAACAGCACTTGGTGAGGAGTGGGGTTTTTAGTGCCATATATCTCATCTTCCTTCATCAGAACCTCAGAATCCAGTGAGGTCCATTCTCCAGGCCCCTCCTAAAGAAAGAGAGACAGAGAGACCTGTAAGGCGTCATGCCAACTCTGACCCAGAGATAGAGTGTAGAGAGAGAGCATGAAGGTATTGCAGCAAATAAAACGCACAAATGTGACCCAAGGACCATTGAAATTGAGATTTCCATTGATGTATGGTTTGTTAGGATAGGACAATATTTGGCCGAAATACAACTATTTGAAAATCTGGAATCTGAGGGTGCAAAAAAAATCTAAATATTGAGAAAATCGCCTTTAAAGTTGTCCAAATGAAGTTCTTAGCAATGCATATTACTAATCAAAAATTAAGTTTTGATATATTTAAGGTAGTAAACTTACAAAATATCTTCATGGAACATGATCTTTACTTAATATCCTAATGATTTTTGGCATTAAAGAAAAATCGATCATTTTGACCCATATAATGTATTTTTGGCTATTGCTACAAATATCCCCCAGCGACTTATAACTGGGTTTTGTGGTTCAGGGTCACACCTTTTGGAGGTTTCAAGTCAGAAAGGATCTCTTTTCAACAGGGGGACTTTGACTGTGTCTGTTTCACAGTCAATTTATAAATCATGAGGGGCGCATTAACTAATTCAACTACATTATTATATTTTTTGCAGAAAACGTAAATGTGGCCGCCAACACATCTCTAGGCTGAATACCAGCCCATTACCCATAATAATGCTTTCTTCAATGAAAATCACTTGTCCTCTAATATTAAAATTCACTGACTCTCACATCAGTGTTTTCAACTGCTTTCGTTTGCAAATGGTACTTGAATTGCACATTTTTCTCTCCTGATTCAGATGATACAACTTTTCCACTGAAGAAAGCATTATAGATGGGTTTTCACATTTTAGCCAGAAGCAACGGCTTGAAGTTAAAAACATCTTAGTGTAGCTTTTTGCTGCATTGTGATTGTTTTTATCAGCTGTTTGGACTCTCATTCTGATGGCACCCATTTGCTACAGAGGATCCATTGGCCAAGGACGTAATGCTAAACTTCTCCATATCTGCTGCGATGAAGAAACAAACCCATCTAGATCTTGGATGGCCTAGGATAAGTAACGTTTCAGCAAAGTTTAATTTGGGGGTGAACTATTCCTTTAATTGACCGCCATTGACGGACAACATGGGGTTATTCCAGAAGTGTCCAGTTGGAAGCAATTCAGGCAATGTTTTCGTCATTCTCACCATTTGCACTGCATTCCCCACCCACCTCAGCCACCTCAGCATGACTCAGATGGTCTTAACGTCTTGTGAGTGGCACTTTCATGCCTCACCAGATAGACAGCTGAGATGTGTGACTGTCGAGGGTGTATTTCTCTTCATTCCGATTGGCTGGTGGTACTCACTTACCTCATCTGATTGGCGGATGGTGTTAAGTGGGATCCATGCTGTTCCTATCAAGGTGTCCCAGATGAGTCCTTTATTCCACACCTCCACAACCAGACCCAGGTCCAGACGACTGATCTCACTTGGGCCACAGATAGAGATACAGAAATAGAGATCAGACCATCAACAAATATGATGAAGAAATGCACTAATTCTGAAATCTCCCAATTCACCCACACCTCTCTGTGAGTTCGAGACACTTCATCAGTGTCCTTTAGGGGAGAGTCTAAAAATAGCCTTACCAATGGTGGGTGAATTGAGGAAATGGGCATAAATATCTTGTACAGATCATAAAAATTGAATTTTGAATTATTAATGGACTTTTTTTTTTGGAATGGAATTATGTAGTGAGGTTCTCTTGTATATTGGTGGCTAGTTAAAAGTTTGATGTTTGCTTTAGTAGATCATCCCTATGCACACACATGCATGATTTCATATCGGTTTAAATGTGCATATAATTTTATTTGTTCATGTTGCTTATGTCAGGATTAAAAGTATAGTTCAACCAAAAATGAAAACGTTTGCATTATTTACACCTCTTTATGCCATTCCAAACCTGTATAACTTGAAAAGGACCCTGATTTAATGTTAACAGTTTCTTCGCCTCAAATTTTGCCTGAAGAGCTCCTAATATTCACAATAATAATGTCAAGCTCATGCAATTTAAACTACCCAAGCATAAATTTTCCTTGCACAAACCAGGCTAATTCTTCACAATCATATTCAATATAAAGACAGTAATTATATTAAGAGGCGGGAGAAGAGGGGGGGGGGAATTAATTACAGGTCTCTCCGAACATTGAGGCTGTCAGGAGTCCTGCTACCTCTAAATATTTTAATTTCTCTGAACAACTCATAATTGTCTCTCCCTCTCTTCCTTAGTGATTCTTAGCGGTTTCTGATTTAGCAAACACTGTATTACCCAAAGAAATCTACAGCAGTTAAGTATCTTGCAAGTAGGTCAGAACAGTGGTTGTGAATCTTCCCTTTTAAGACTTGAACCCAAGGGGTCGGGGTTTGGCTAGTTAACGTAGCCCAGTTAGCCCCTGCTAGTGGATGTCACTATGTAAAAAAAGGACACATTATATATGCACACACACTATAAAGTTAGTTCAAAAAGGGAATGATCTAACCCTACTAGACACATCAGTGAGGCAAAAAAGGACTTTTCATTTTGCCACCAACCAAACAAAAATAATCATTCTAAATTGTGTGTGCAATGAAGAAAGTGTATATAATAATTGACAGCTGTCCTTGGAAACTGTCTTCATTGGGGTAAGCAGACGAAGTGTGACAGAGACAGACAGCGTGTCACTCACATCCCATGTCTATATCTCTCAAATTGAATTCAAAGACTCCTAAATTACACCCGAGTCTGAATACAGAAATGTGGAGGTATGAAGGCATTAAGGACTGTCCAAATCAACATTTTCAATACTGATATAATTAGAAGAAGTATTTCTTCGGCTGCAAATCAGCATATTAGAATGATTTCTGAAGGATCATGTGACAGAAAATTGGAGTAATGATGCTGAAAATTCAGCTGTCATAACAGGAAAAAAAAAACATTTCAAATTATATTACAATTCTGTAGTTATTTTCATTTGTAATGATATATATCCGTTTATACTGAATGTAGCATTGGGGAGCATTTAAAAAATCTTACCCACACCAAACTTCTGAATAGTAGTCATTGACTATTATTCCTCTGTACACTCTAAAAAATGCTGGGTTAAATACAACCCAGTGCTGGGTAAAATAGGGACAAACCCAGCACTGGGTTGTATTTAACCCAGCATTTTTTAGAGTTTACAAGATTAAATGCTAGCAATTCGAAAGAGCATCTCAACAAATGGTTTCTTTGTCTATCTCTCTCTCATTTTGTCTATTGCTATCAATTTGTCTTGTCTCACTGCTAGTCTGATCCCTGCCATGTGAGGTCAGCACGTGGTGCAGTTTAACCCCTCAAAGAGCAGATAAATGCTCAACACTCATCCTCTTTATCCCCACACACACACCTGACAAAGTACACTTACTCTACTAACACACAAACATGGGAAAACAAACACACTTATATATAGTTTTCTACTGAATCCAGGTCTTGACCGCATTACTGTTTTATATCATTTCAACAAATTATTTCAATCTTACAGCAAATGAAACATGAAAAACATACACTGGTCAAGCAAATCAAATATAACAACAAACATAATACTGAAACACAGCTCTCTCTTTCATATAGGGTGTGCATTAATGTTAAATTATTCAATAACCTGTGTTTAATAAGTCTTTTTAAAGCAGACGTAAATGACAGATGTAATGAAAAATGTATCCATTATATTGTTGTCCATCATTATCTACAATATAATCCAGCTGTTAATAATCCAAATCTTCACATTACATAATCAGATGGTATTGTACCGCTCGCTCCACAAGACCAGAATTTGCCCTGACAGTGACGCAAACACTTTTCATTCACATAATGTTCATGTTTCTGTGTTTCTTACAACTGTAAGAATTTGTATTTTAAAGCAAAAATTTTCATTTTGCTGTTCAATTGTCTTTTGACCTAAACATACATGTCACTAGTAAATATTTTAAAGTGCCCCATTATGGATTTTTGAAATTTACCTTTCATGCAGTGTAACAGCTCTACGTGAATGAAAACATCCTGCAAAGTTTTAAATCTGAAAGTGCACCGTGTATAAAGTTATTGTCTCTCAAAAGAAAGAGTCGACTCTGAATCATTGAAATGAGTTGTTTTTAAAACGAATCCCAAGCCGTTTCATGTTGAAGTCAAAATGAAACATTAGCATATTGCCCGCCCACTTGTTGGTCTTTTCACGTTGGTCTAAATGAAAATGCTAATTCATTCTTTGCCACTAGGTGCCGCTGTTGGAGCGGTAAATAAGCGGTTTTCCCGGTAACGGCTGTAAACAAAGCAGCACTGCGCTCACAAACGCTGCTTTATCAGGCATTACAGGCAAGATGAAATGAAAATGAGACCAATCGACCAATCGGACCAATCACCGCCGATTAGTGTCACGCAAGGAGGGGTTTGGAAAAATGAATCATTAAACGAATCGTTTGGGAGTCGTTGAGCAAGTAAGGTAAAAATAAATGCATATTATAAGACAATGAAAGTGTGTTTTGACCTTGCATGCATGTCAGCCTTTTGTAGGGGACTCCTAAAACTAAAATATGAACCTTTCATAACCCATAATAGGGGCACTTTAAAATATTTTTATTTAAAAAACTATATTTTTTTTTGTTTCATGTGTCACGTAAGAAGAATCATACAAAAAATACTAACATTTCAGCTGTGATCTGTATAGAATAGCTGTCACACCAAAGCCTCTATTTTGGGCATGTAAGCCTCTTAAGAGAGAGGGCAGATATTAGTCCATATCGAGGGATTTATTATACTGTTATGACCTCAGACAAACACCACAATTCAAAAATAAACTGGAAAACATTTTCTTCTCTGTACAGCAACCCGATTAAAAAGTGACACTGCTCTTTGTTGAACTAATTAAGGAATGGATAAACAAATATATTTTGTTATATGTCATTTGAGAGACCCATTTGATAAATTATACAGATGATAAATTAATTTTGCCTGTCATATCTGGAAAGCATATTTAAACTGGCCATCTACTCATGGCTGAACAGCACGGTCTAGCCACAAACACAGAAATGACAGCTGGGAATATTGCATCCGCTCTAAATATGATAGTGTGACAGCATAATGTGTCACACTAACGGGACTTTCACATTTACTCCTCTGAAACCTCCTCACAGCTTCTCTCTATCAATACCTCTCCCTTTCTTTAATACATTCACTTCATCTTTCTATCCTCTACACACAATGCTGTTTCAATCCCCCTGAAAGTGTGTTATGTATGTGCGGACTTTAACCTGCCGATCATTCGTGAGCGCTGAGCAGCAGGACAATAATCCAGGCACAGAGGATCTCCGTCTGAATAGAACACGCACACAAAGCTGAGCCACTGGCCTAGAATCCTAACACACTATCCCTATAATTATACAAGACTTTCTCTAGGCGTTAAAAGGCACATTGCGTTTGATTTCAGGCTTTCTGACCGACATAACCAGACAGAGTGGCCGATATTGTTTCCACATTGTTCTGGGTGTCAAAGGTTAGCAGAACATGTTCACAGTTAATGTGATAAACTACACCTCTAGATATTCTGCTGTGTGAAAATCAGGTGAATTGACAAGTTTGGGTTTGGCAAGATTCTTTTCATGTTTTTAAAAGAAAAGAAATAAAGTAAAACATATTAAAATATTATTCATTTAAAATACCTCTTTTCTATTTTAATATATTTAAAAACGTAATTTATTCCTGGTATTTCTAGCAGCCAATAATGAAGTGTCAAGTGTCATGAACAATGAACAAATGTGATTTTTGAATAGAAGAACAAAAAGCTTTAAATGTTTTGTGCTCCCTCTCTCTGCTAATCACTGTAACTGCAGCTGATTCTCAGAATTCATCCTGAAGAATTGCCAAAATTCGCTCTGGAACAATCTGAAAATCGGGGACAATTTCTGGGACGGACAAAACCTCCCGAGAGCCCATCAAAAAGCTATTTAACATTTGTCATTGCAACACAAGAGGGTCAAAGGTAAAAGAAGGTAGGACAAACTGAAGTGTGTGTGCGTAATTTAAAGCAGGAACCAAAAAAAAACTGTGTGAAGATACTCTTCTAAAATGCAAAATTTTACACTCTCCTAAAATAAACTGCTGTTTAAAAATATAAAATTGTTTTCAATTTCAAAGAACACATCTGCACATCCAGTTTGATGTGCTCATAAACAATCTTTCATTTTCCGCAGCAAAGTAGTTTTGAGTGTTTTTAAAGTCCTTCAGCGAATCGGGGCCCTTTCATTAGGCACACATTTGAGTGTAACAGTGGTACAGACATTTCCAAAAGCATGGAAACACACGACAATAACAGAAATACTCACAACATAAAGTCCTGTTCCCAGCAGGGCTGGTCTCCTCGTACCGTGATGGTTGTGCTTTTAACATTCTGGACCTTCAACGTGACATACACATTAAACTTGTCTGCAAAAAAGTAAAAAAAACAATAGGTTAGAACATTAAAGCCCTTCAGTTTCATATAGTTCACCCAAAAAAGTGTCTCATCCACATGTTATTCTAAACCTGTATGGCTTCCTTCCATGGTAAACAAAAGAAGACATTTCAGGAATTGTACTGGTCACTAAACGCTCTTTTTGGGGTAAACTAATTCTTCATGCAAAGGAATACAGAACTTAGTTGAGGAATCCATCTTTTTCTATATTAAATAAACTCATGTGATGTCATAGCAAACTGACAAGTATTGTAATGGAAAATTGAGATGTGACATCCACCTCTAAGTGTGTGTGTTAAATATTCATGGTCTTATGTAAATGCAATAGTTATTATGTGCAGCGACACAGACAGGTTGAAATAGGCTGTCAGAGGTCAAAACAAGCAGGCATAATTAAATATAAAGTGCCACAAGAGCGCCATGAGAGCCACAAGTACAGAGGAATATGAAGACGAATGTGAGTGCTTCTATCATCTCTCCAAAGTTGACTTTATGAAAGCAGTTCCCTGTACAATCTCATTATTAAATGTGACCCTGGAGCACAAAACCAGTGTTAAGTCGCTGGGGTATATTTGTAGCAATAGCCAAAAATACATTGTACTGGTCAAAATTATCGATTTTTCTTTTATGCCAAAAATCATTAGGATATTAAGTAAAGATCATGTTTCGTGAATATATTTTGTAAATTTCCTACTGTAAATATATCAAAACTTCATTTTTGATTAGTAATATGCATTGCTAAGAACTTCATTTGGACAACTTTAAAGGTGATTTTCTCAATATTTTGATTTTTTTTGCACCCTCAGATTCCAGATTTTCAAATAGTTGTATCTCGGCCAAATAGTGTCCTATCCTAACAAACCATACATCAATGGAAAGCTTATTTATTCAGCTTTCAGCTGATGTATAAATCTCAATTTTGGAAAAATTGACCCTTGTGACTGGTTTTGTGGTCCAGGGTCACAAATGGTTTGAGAACATTTTTCAGGATAACAAACGTTTGAGTTGAAAAATATAGGCAAATGTCACTTGATCTTCTGAGATGTAAAAGTGAAATGTTAACGTAATGCAGCTTTCAGAACTCAAAACTTATTCCTCAGTCCAAAAAGCCATATTTTTTAACTAGGCTACAAAAATATGTTTGTTTGTGTTTAACGCCATTCCAGCTTCTGTGGCTGTTTTCATGGCGAGAAATATTATAGCTGAATTATATCATGTTTTTCTCATTCATTTTTGGCTATAAAAAGAAAATTCAGATTTTGAAGAAAGGACTAATGGTGTCTGGTATCCTTGGTAAAGAAACAGGGTCGCAATTGGCAGTGGGTGAGCAGCAAGGCATCTTGGCCCATCAGCTGCAGTGTAGCTTCCATCTCCAGAAAGTGGTGTAGCACCTACAGCTCAGCATAACCGATATACCCTTAGGACTGCAGCGTTCTCTAGGATGCTACAGTACACTTCTTACTTATTTGCAGGCATTTTACAAGATTGCCTTGTCATTTCAGTCCGGCTGAATTGTGTACATAAGACTTCACTTCACTGCATCTGTGATTGTTGGTTTATGTTGAGAATGCAAGGCTCCATCAATCCTTCTTTCTCAGGGAAACAGAATTTACAAAAAAATAACTCGCACACCAGGAAAACACAAATGGGCCAAACCACATTCATCCTTTTACACATACAAAATTGGATATGGTTTAAAAAACAAACAAACAAACCTTGTCCTACTTTCCATTTAGTTCTCTTATATGTTCACAAGTTTGACGTGTTTTAACATCATTTTAAAGCCTTTTTCACACCGCACACATAATGTTTAAGTGGCGCAGGGGGTTCAATGCTGTTTCATGCATTCATAGTTGTTTACACTGTTAAAGAGTTGGATTCTCATGCTAAGCATGGACAAAGTTTCAAAAAACAATTTGGACGTATGACGGAGTATTTCTGTGCCAAAAATCGTACTTCCGGGTTCGTACAAGTTTCTGAGAGTTTTTTTCGATCGTGGCTCTTCATGACGTAGACGAGGGTGGAACTCCTTATATGGGCATTTCTCCCGGAAGAACGCGCCCGCGCACGCATCGACCAGAGCGAGAGCAAGATCGCGCCCATCAACGCGCTTCATCCAGCGGCAGCGCTGCACGGGACTTGCTCAGGAAGAATGTCTCCAATCCAAAGAAGTGTGTTTTTGGTTGTAAGGGAAAGATAATTTTGTTCAGCTTCCTAAAGAACCCAGCGTTATGTAAACAGTGGATACAGTTTGTTTTCTGGGGCAGCAACGGAGTTTCACAAGTGTGTTTGTTGAGGAACGTTTTATAAACAAGGCCCAGTTCGACCTGGATTTGCACATGGTTTGATACTGAAAGATGGAGCGGTCCCAGCTATAAAAGATCCCGGTCATGATTCAGAACTGCAGACGGTAAGTGAAACGGCATCAAATGTCTGTTTTGTTGGCATTCGGCGCCCAAGTGCTCGTCACTCTTTAGCTCCGCCCACGGCGCGCCTCCAGGAGCTCGGCTTTTTCCGGAGAGAATCGTAAAGCTGTATCTTTCTTTTATAAATATGATCAAACTAAAGACTTTTTGGAGATATGAAAGATGCAGTACTACTCTATAGGTACTCAAGATTAACATGAGATTGGGTGAAACTGTGTGTATTATGCCCCCTTTAAGGTTAGGGGTCTTCAACATTTTTCAGGCCAAGGACATAAAAAGTGTTGCATGCCAAGTCATCTACCATATTAACGCATTTTCATACTTTCATGGCACTTAAACTAGTGTTTAAAAGTTTGGGGTTGGTCTCTTATGCTCATCAAGGCTGCATAAAGGCTAAAAAAAGTTGTTATTTATTTATACCTGAAGCTGAATTTTATTGAATTTTGCAATTATTTATCATCCAGTCTTCAGGGTCACATGATCCTTCAGAAATCATTCTAATATGCCGAATTGGTGCTCAAGAAATTTCTTAATATTATAATTTCTTAATATCATCAGAGTAATTTCTTAATATTATCAGCGTTAAAAATAGTTGTGCTACTTAATATTTTTTGTAGAATTTATAGTACTTTTTTGGGGTAAATCGAAAGAGCAGCATTTATTTGAATATTTTTGTCACAACTTAAAAGTCTTTACTGTCCCTTTAGATCAATTTAATGCATCCTTGCTGAATTTAACTTAACATTTACAATATATCTCTGACAACATTTACAGCTTCTTAATCTACTATCAACTGGTTAATCACAATGTTGTCATTTACATAAAAAAAAACATATACTAATACATATATGTTCCAGTCTACAATGCGCATTTGAAACCAACCTGGTTTGTTAACACCGAGCAAAATAAGAGTTCATCAATCTTGACCTAGGACTCTGTTTACTGAATGACATGTTCTCATGAAGACCTCAAAACAGATTACCAAACTAACAAAGACCGCAAGACTCATTTCAAAGGGGTGATTTTTAAAAGAAAATGCCACAAGCAGAGAAAAAGAATTAGAGGGAGAGAGGCAGCATTATCAAATTGGATAAAAAAGGGATTATTCTGAACAATATTCATTTGAGATAGAACCTTTTTATTTCCAGAAAATACTATTTGTTTCCAGAGAATATTATTTCTATAAAACAATGTGTTCATGACCCTGTGATTATTCTAAATTTAGCTCATAAATATCAGCATGGGCTGAACTTCTCATCTGCGGAAATTAATCAGCAGACGATTGCTCAATGACATTTCTATTTACAGCGGCATTATTCATCCAATCAAGGCGTTTGGCCTGAGAAGCCCTCACAGAAATTAAGCCTGCATTTTGTACAGTCTTGCAAGGAGAGCTTTCTTAAAGTGCCCCTATTATGGATTTTTGAAAATTACCTTTCATGACGCCTCCAGGAGCTCGGCTTTTTCCGGATAGAATCGTAAAGCTGTATCTTTCTTTTATAAATATGATCAAACTAAAGACTTTTTGGAGATATGAAAGATGCAGTACTACTCTATAGGTACTCAAGATTAACATGAGATTGGGTGAAACTGTGTGTATTATGCCCCCTTTAAGGTTAGGGGTCTTCAACATTTTTCAGGCCAAGGACATAAAAAGTGTTGCATGCCAAGTCATCTACCATATTAACGCATTTTCATACTTTCATGGCACTTAAACTAGTGTTTAAAAGTTTGGGGTTGGTCTCTTATGCTCATCAAGGCTGCATAAAGGCTAAAAAAAGTTGTTATTTATTTATACCTGAAGCTGAATTTTATTGAAT